TGTGTGTGTGTGTGTGTGTGTGTGTGTGTGTGTGTGTGTGTGTGTGTTGTGTCTCTGGGACCTGCAGGGCTCGCCAGGTTTTGGGGTGAGAATTAAGGTAGAACCTTCCCTTGGGGCCTGCCATCAGGCCACTGAGCCAAACCGGCCACAGTGACCATGAGCCTTTGCTGAGGTGTGCTGAGGGTTTCACACATGCCAGCCTTGTTTGCCAGTCTCATGCCTCACTAAAGCATTGGTAGGGAAGGTACTAGTCACCGTGAGGTCTGGGTGGTGGGGAGATGACTAGATGAAATGAATGAGACCCCAGCTTTCTTTACCCCAGGGAGATTGCTAACTCTTTGGTACAGAAAAGCCTAACAGCGGCGTATCCGCCCCAAGGCCTGCTGTATGTAATATCCTGGGATGGTCAGCTCTGTCTCGTTCCTTGGCTGATAAAGCTCAAGCCCTCATTGTGTAGTGGCTTGACACCTGCGGCTCTTTGAGCAGAGGTGTGGATCTTGTCCAGAGCATCCTCGTACAATGCTTTTCCCCAGTGGCCACTGCTCAGCACGCTGTGCCTAACTCTTATCTCATCTTCTATGGTGTCCATCTTACGATCCCGAGCTGGGGAGGTGGAGGCAGGTAGGTCCTCGGGGCTCACTGCGTTTGTGAGTGCCAGGCCATAGGAGGTGACCTCTGGCTCATACACACACATACATACTCACACCACACGGATGTGCACACACTCTTAAACTCCAGGGCAGATTTGCTTCTGTGACATCTGGAAGTAAAATCATTGTTACGCCCTCTTTGGGTTTTATGCCAGATAGGCACAGACTGATTCTCCTACCCTGCCCTACCCCACCCCACCCCATCCCTGCCCTACCCTATCCTGGTAACTGGTGACTAGTAAAGGTGAGCAGCTGTTCAGTTACCTGCTGGCGGCCGCAGTCAGCTGTTCCTGTGATGGAACACCATGACCACACACGACCTGGGGAGGAATCAGTGGATGTGGCTTCCACTTCCACATCATAGTCCACAACTGACAGAAGTCAGGACAGGAGCTCAAACTGGGAGGAACTGGGAGGTTAGAGCTAACACAGAGGCCATGAAAGGGTGCTGCTTACTGGCTTGCGCCTCATAGCTTGCTCAGCCTGCTTTGTCTTTCTTTCTTTCTTTCTTTCTTTCTTTCTTTCTTTCTTTCTTTCTTT